ATAACCTGGCCCCTACTAGAGCAACCTTCTGATCAGTTAGCATGGTGTGAATGCAAATGCGCCGACAAAACAACAATTTCTCAACTTGTACAGTTTGTGCAAATTATGCCTTCATAAATGCCCAAAAATCGTTCACACAGTATTATTCGCTCGAATTGTGTCATTTGCGCAAATAGTGCCGCAGGATGTCTAATTACATTTTTACATTGACTTTACACTGTACATTAACTAAACGTGTAAAGTAATCACACTTAACGTTTCATCCGTATTTGGTGTGAATGTGCCATAAAAAAATTTAGTTAATTTCAACAAACATATCCTTGTTTAAATAGGCTTTGACTGAATATGTGTTACGAATATGCAGTGGTGGGAGTAACGAATTACAACTACTCACGTTACTGTAATTAAGTACATTTTTGGTGTAATTGTACTTTCATGAGTAGAATTTTAAGCCTGTAATTTTACTTGTACTTGAGTACAAATTAAGCTGAGTAATCTACTTCGTTACTTTTAAAATCACAATTCGTTACAGAGTACTGTAAATAAATTAATATTTCAGCCACGCACTGACCAGCATTTCGGTAGCCAATAAAAAAAGCTGATCTTAACGGACCAATGAAAAGCCTGGTACATTATTTGAACTGAAAAACAAGTTCAGGCTACTGCAGATTTACGTGACCGTCATCATACAGTCACGAATTATCAATTGACATATGGAGATTTAAGACAGAAGAAATGTTAATGAGGAAGAAATAGCAGAGGATGAATGCATGGCCACACACGGAGGAGCTGTTCACCTACAGGTATATAGGGAAGAAAGGGGACAGCTGTGCTGATGTGAATAGCTATGTTATCATCTAAAAATGCTAATTAAATGTATGCCCAAAACTGGAATATCGCATAAAAGACTGCAAATAAAGCAGCGTTTCTGTCCATCAAGTCAAAGAGAACAAAATTGCCACCTTCTGATTAACTGGCGACAAATATCAAAAGTAAAAACAGAATTTGCATCAGTAGGAGCAGCTGCGTGAATAAATTATCTTCATTTAATAAGTGACTTGCGCATCAGAAGGCAATCCTGCACGAAGTGAACGCGCGCTGGCGTTTGAAGGCGCGAGACACGGAGTGCAGGCACTCTTGACAATTCTGGAGGTCATTAATACAATATAATACTGAAATGGTTGAGGCGGTTTAGAATGACCAAAACAACACTTAAGATGTTTTACAATGTGCTTAGCCTGCTGGTTTGTCCATTCACACACATTTTCAAAATATATGCTCATTATTGCGTTTCCATCAACCGTTTTTATGTGCATATCCAAAAAGCGCAAAAAATAAGTGGATGAAACCTGCCCTCTGCTGTGCCATCCAGCTTACACAGGGTTTCCGTGGGGTCTTAAAATGTCTAAAATATAAACATCTAAATTTTAGGCCTTAAAAAGTCTTAAATTCGCTGTTCTAGGTCTGAAATATGTTTGCACAGGTCTTATTTTTCCGATGTACATGTAACGCTACTCCTAGAGCTCATTTAAATTTTTTTTTGTTGTTGCTTGGTTTCGTGGTGGTGTATTTCTTTATTTCACTAGTCCTATTGTAATTTGCAGTATTAAACCTACAATTAAGACCATGTGACGAATGTGACGTCATCGCCGTGTTTGCGGAGGTTCACTTTGGATGCGCGCGACATGATTTCAGGTGAACAGTTTGCGCGGTGCCGCGCTTGATTTGAGTTGAATTTAAATCGCTTTGAAGAGATTTTGTCTGTAACAGTACAGCTGTACAGACATCTTAACTCCGACCATGCGTGATCAGCATAGAGATAACCAGATGACCAATAATTCTTGGCTAGAAATTGCAACAGCCATGGAAAGGAAGTGTTTTGTTAAAGTTTGGAAAAACCTGGGGGATAAGTTTGTTACAACAAAAAAGAGACCATGGCAAAAGTGGAGACCCAGGTGGTTTTAAGATTACAGAATATGTTTTTCCACCATTTATAGGTTTTACACTGATGTATCATTTTGAAGTTAAAACAATGTAACAAAAATTAAGTAACAAATTAGGTATTTGATAACTGGAAAACAATATATGAACCCATCGGCTTACACTAAACTGATGCCCAATTTCTAGGATTTATTGGTGATGATGGACAGGATTGTTGGACCATTATTGCCTTTTCAGCTATTAAGTAGAGGACAGAAACTAGCCAGACAACAATGTGTCAATTGTTGAGTGGGCAAAATTTTTTTATTTATTTTTGCTATTATTCTAGCCAGAATAAAAAAAATATAATTGTAGAGTAACCCATGTTCTGTTGTCATTGATATTTACCTTAAATAGGTAGAACTGTCCGAGATATAAACAAAAGTGAGTGATGCATCAAACTTTGATTTAAAAAATCTTGAATAGTTATAAAACTTTATAATCAGTCATTAATTTTCTTTTTAGCTTAGTTCCTTTATTAATCTGGGGTCACCACAGCGAAATGAACCGCCAATTTATCCAGCAAATGTTTTGCACAGCGAATGCCCTTCTAGCTGCAACCCGTTCTCATTTACAACAACAGACAATTTAGCTTACCTAATTCACCTAAAATGCATGTCTTTGGGCTGTGGGGAAAACCGGAGCATCTTGAGCAAACCCACGCAACACGGGGAGAACATGCAAACTCTACACAGAAATGCCAACTGACCCTGCCAAGGCTTGAACCAGCGACCTTTTTGCCTTGAGTCGAGAGCGCTACCCACTGCCCCACCCGTCACCCAACTTTGCAATCATAATAAATTATAAAAATAATGAAAAATAATTATTTTTTTAAAATCTTGAACAATATTAAAGATATGACGTAGTCTTAAAAAGTCTTAAATTTGACATTATGATATCTGCAGAAACCCTTTTTTTTTTACAAGACTTCAGTCTATAATCTGAAAAAAAAAACATTATGGTAAGAAGACATAACTTAATTTGTGAGATGTTTAATTTATTAATAATATGTTTAGGCACTAGGCAGTGTTGTTCTGTGGTTTCTTACAGTTCAGTTCGTGAATTAGGTATTTAACAAAGTTTCTCCATAATTTGCAAGTGTTTTTTTCTAATTAAATCATCTATTGATCGTACAGATAAAAGAGGCATCATTTGAAATGATAAAAAGTCGTGCATTTGTGCATATTTCTGTTATCTTTATACTCAAAATAGCAAAACATTGTTTTTGTAAAATAATCATGGTGCGCAGTGGGTATTGCTATCGCCTCAAAGCAAAAAGTTTGTTGGTTCAAGCCCTGGCTGAGTCAGTTGGTGTTTCTGTGTGGAGTTTGCATGTTCTCCCCATGTTGGCGTGGGTTTCCTCTATAGGTGCTCTATAATTATAATCTATAATTAATGCTGTTTACACAGTTTTAAAAGTGTTTATAGTATCTTTAGATGTGTTATGTAAAATGTGTTTTACTGCCTGAATCTTGTCTGACTCCGCATTTATGGATAAATCCACCAATACCGCCAAGCTAAAAAAGTAATTTGTAATTTTGTAATTTGAGTAGTTTTTACGAAAAGTAACTTGTACTTTTACTTGAGTACTTTTTAACACCAGTACTTTTACTTGTAATTGAGTACAATTTCAGCAATGTAACAGTACTTGTAATTGAGTACAATTTTTTTGTACTCTTACCACCACTGCGAATATGTCACATGACATGCTTGAAGTAGGTCATGCTCTGCCATGCCATGAACTCACAGTATCGCACAGTTGACGATTGCTTAATGTATGAAAATATAATGTTATTTAATAAAAAACACTCCGATGGTGTAGGAATGATTCAAACGGTGTTCTTGCTAGCTAAAGGATATCTGTCACAATTAAAATATGAGCTAACTTTGCACCATTTTACACCACAGAATCAGAACATTCTGGAGGCGCACAAAAGCAGCCTGTTTTTTTCCTAGTGGCAGTTTCTCGTTCTTTCCAACAAATTGCGAATGCTTTTGGACATGCATCAATTGCTTTCATTCAACTCTCTGCTGTTTATAACATTATCTTTTGCTTATGTCGTGTCAGTTAAAATTAACTAGACTTGTGAATGCCGAATAGTCATTCCATAAAAAAAAACGAATAGTCCTCATATCATTACTTGAGTCATTACATTACAAACATTACAAAATGTTGAACTACTTGTCAAAATATGTCAAGCTAATTTTAGAATTTTCTAATTTTTTATCAGAAAATGTTTTATAAATTGAACAATTTCTTGAATGATTTACAGACCTGTATGTGTTGTAGGGTCAGTTCCAGTATGTACTGCAATATTGTTTAAAGTTTCGCACAGCTCTACCCAAAGGAAGTTTCTGTTTGTTGTAAATAAGGCTGTATTTATTATTTTCACAATGCTGTGAATAAATTACAATTGTAAGGAGCATATGCAGTGATAATGTGAACCATACATATTCAGTGTCTTGTACTCAGATACCTCACTTAATGCAGTGATGTCTAACTTTACTGTAGTTTTCAAATGTCTGTGCAAATAGTATACAGTGCTGTCTTGAGCATTTTCTGGAAGTGTCACCAAAATCTGCCTTTTTGTTGCATTGAATAAAACTTACAGAGTAAACTGTCTTAGTAAAAACAGAACAGCCATTTGAATATCTTGTTCATAAACAAGGGTGTCAGGACTTTTCATCTTGATGACACTGACACTTTCATTGACATCAATACTTGCTTTTTGAGGAATGAGCTATCCGTTTTAAGCAAGTGACACGCTTTTGCAGGTTATCAGCTAGGTTTTGCAGTTTGTACTAATTGTTTTGAGAAATCCATTAACTGTTGTGCAAATGTAAATAGTGCGAGTAAAGCACCAAAGCCACTGAGAAGAACTGTAAAAATGAAAATGACATAATATGACCCCTTTAAATAGTTGATGCTCTTTGAGAGTTGACAGAAAAAAATGTTGCACTGTAGGAAGCAGATTGCCTGTACTCATTTGTTTATTTTGACCCCCCTCTTTCCCTCATAGGTGTGGAGGGTCAGTCTGTGGAGATCTGTAACACTGTAGATATAAGAGGTGAAACCAACCGTGAAATTGCAATGAGGATAACTTCAGATCTAAACAGCAAGGATCGATTTTTTACTGACCTCAATGGCTACCAGGTAGGAAACCATATACTGTTTTTATTCTGTAATTATGCCCATATTTATCACATCAAACATGGTGTTGGTTTGAGCTGGGTGTTGAATCAGTTGTGTTTATTTAGTTTGATTCTGATTCAGTAGTTCTCATTTCGATTTGTTTTAATTATATATATATATATATATATATATATATATATATATATATATATAAATTGTTGCAAATTTATAAAAAATAAAAAACCTGAAAACTCACATGTACAGAAGTATTCACAGGCTTTGCTCAATACTTTGTTGATGGACCTTTGGCAGCAATTACAGCCTCAAGTCTTTTTCAATGTGATGCCACAAGCTTGGCACACCTGTCTTTGGGAATATTTGCCCATTCCTCTTTGCAGTACCTCCAAAGCGCTTAGAATGACCAAGAGGCAACACTCAATAGAACGTTTCATTACAACAGCAGCGCCCAGCAACAGCCCTGGATTCCGCCATTTTGGAGTGAAAGTGATCGGTCGTCCATTGGATCTCATTACTGTTGCGATGGCAAGCAGCTGCTTTGTTTTTTATTTATTTATTTAAAAAGCGCATTAAAGCTGAGATATAACCTGAAAGACAACAATACAACACTTATTATCACATTCATCAGCACTTTTAATAGTTTATTTTACAGACTTATATTTGTTCTATTGGAGTTTTATTCCAAAATGGCCGCCGCGCCCTCTAGTGGCTGTTTTCCAAATTACACTAGAGTGTTGCCTCTTGGTCATTCTAAGCTCTTTGGTACCTCTCAAGCTCTATCAGATGGATGGAAAGTGATGGTGTACAGTCATTTTCAGATCTCTCCACACATGTTCAATAAGATTTAGGTGTAAGCTCTGCCTGAGCCACTCAAGGACATTCACCGAGTTGTTGTGAAGCCACTCTATGGATATTCTGAAGTTGTGCTTTAGGTCATTTTCCTGCTGGGAGATGAACCGTTGCCCAAGTCTGAGGTCAAGAGCACTCTGAAGCAGGTTTTCATGCAGGATGTCTCATTGCTGCATTCATCTTTCCATCTATCCTGACTAGTTTTTCAGTTCCTGCTGCTGATTAACATCCCACAGCATGATGCTGCCACCACCATGGTTCACTGTTGGAATGGTATTAGCCTGGTGATGAGCAATGCCTGATTTTCTTTAAACATAACGCCTTGCATTCACTCCAAAGAGATCAATTTTAGTCTCATCAGACCAGAGAATTTAGTTTCATATGGTCTGAAAGTCCCTTAACACCTTTTGGCAAATTCCAAGTGGGGAGTGGCTTCTGTCTGGACATTCTACCATGCAGACATGATAGGTGGATTGCTGGACAGATGGTTGTTCATCTGTAAAGTTCTCCTCTCTCCATAGAAGAGCACTGGAGCTCAGACAGAGTGACCATCGAGTTATCAATCAGCTCCCTGACTTAAGCCCTTCTCCCCCGATCACTCAGCTTAGATGGCCAGCCAGTTCAAGGAATAGTCACTGTGCTCATTGGAACTTTCAGAGCAGCAGAAATTATTCTGTAACCTTCCCCAGCCTTGTGCCTCCAGACAATCCTGTCTCAGAGGCCTAGAGACAATTCCTTTGTCTTCATGCTTTGTTTGTGCTTTAACATGCACTGTCAACCCTGGGACCTTATATAGGCTGGTGTATGCCTTTTCAAATCATGTCCAATCAACTAAATTTACCACAGGTGAACTTCAATTAAGCTGCTAAAACATCTCAAGAATGATCAGTGGAAACAGAATGTACCTGAGCTCAATTTAGAGCTTTACGACAAAGGCTGTGAATACTTAGGAACTTGATTTTACAGCTTTTTTTATTTTTAATAAATTTGCAACAGCTTCACATTGTCATTATGGGGTATTGTGTGGGGTATTGTGTGAAGAATTTTGAGGAAATAAATGAGTTTAATCCATTTTGCAATAAGGCTGTAACATAAAACTGTTGAAAAAGTGAAGCGCTATGAATACTTTCCGAATGCACTGTATGTAATATTTAAAATGTGCAATGATTAAATTTAATAAGAGATTAATATTTTTGAGAGATTAACATTATTTATAATTGATTATTAATGATTAAAAGAGACTATGAATACATTTGTAATGTAACAAATTAAGTAAGTGTAGTATTTTTAGACACATTTTATACTTTTCATTCAACAAACAATACACAAATATATTTTTTCACAAATATATTGTGCAATATTTTTATATACTTTAAAGCAGCACATTAGAAATTTTTCTGAAGGATTGTGTGAATAAGAAAACTGGAGCACTTGCTGAGAATTCTGCTTTGCCATCACAGGTATTAATTAAAATGTAAAATATATTCAGATAGAGAACAGCTATTTGAAATTGTAATAATATTAAACAATGCTGCAGATCTTTTGTTTTTCATACACATACATCTTCCTGATCCCAAGCTTTTAAAATGAGTACATGCATATATAATGACTAATATGTATGAATATTGAAGAAAAAAAGGCATAATTTTGGCCTCGTTTCCCTAAAGTTAACAAATATTATGAAAAAACCATAACCCACTATTGCCAAAAAGCAAATTACTGTAATGTGTACTCTTTTCATTACAGTTTGAAGAGATGTGCTAGTGCTTATATTTTAATTGGTATAGTTTTTTTTGTATGTGTGCGCGTGTTGTTTGTACAGCACTTTGGTCTGCATGTGCAGCTTTATGAATAAATTAAAAGAAATGAATAAACAGAAGCTGCTTTTATTAGCTGGTCACACACTACAAGTGTGATGAAACCAAATATTCATCAGTGTCTGAATAAAGATGACACAGCTGAATGAGAGTAAAAGACATTTAATGATGAGACATGATGTTGCTGAAGTTAAAGAAACAATACACTTTTGGAAATAAAGTGGTCCTTCGGTATAACACGGTTCACCTTTCACACCCTCGCAGTTTCACAATGTTTTTTTATTTGTGCAATTAGACATTCTTCTTTTACAAGACATTTACTGCATCCTGATTGGCTGTAGATCATTGTCAATCAATCTCTGTGTCTTCTTTACTGTACAGTATGCATTCAGCTTGCCAAACATAAATCTTTGATCGCTAGCAGTGTGAATTTCAACAAGGATGCAAAAAATGTGACAACTGTCGGCAGCAAGACATCATGTAGGGCGGGAATCACCAAACTTGTTCCTGAAGGTCCGGTGTCCTGCAGATTTTAGCTCCAACCCTAATCAAACACACCTGAACAAGCTATTCAAGGTCTTACTAAGTATACTTGAACCACCAAGGCAGGTGTGTTGAGGCAAGTTGGAGCTAAACCCTGCAGGGCACCGGACCTCCAAGAACGAGATTGGTGACCCCTGATGTAGGGGGTCGCACACCGGATGCACCGCTCCACGCAGCGGCATGCTTTTTTTTTATTGTAAACATAGGTTTATGGGTACGCACGCCAGCGTTGCAAGTCGGCGCCCCCAGCTACGAGCGCCATCTGAATAATTTCATTTTGAATAACATGCAAATTTGTGCGTCTGGTGTGTGTTACTTCCAACTGTCAAGTAAACATAAAAAAAAAATTATGCTGGATGCCAGCATTAAAAGCTAAAACGTTGAATGAACCTTTTGCTGACAGTGATGATTGTTTGGGCCTGACAACAGGTTTTGATCTTTGGTTTTATTCTACAATACTGGACTTATCTTTCTATGAAAATGTAAACTTTGAGAGTGTTTAAACAAGAGACAAAAGTGTGAAAATGTCAATGCTTGTTTGAGAAAAGTGTATAAAGTGTGTTGTGAGGTGTTTTACAGCCTTAAAACATCTAGAACAATTGTAAAAAATAAAGCTCACTACTACGCAGATTTCGCCTATTGCGTTATTTTTAGAACGTAACTCTTGCGAATAACTAGGGACCACTGTAGTCTCATTATACAAGTCTCTTACAGTTGATTTACCATTTTTTAATCCATTCAGCTGATCCCAGGGTCTGGCGGGAGCACTTTTAGCTTAGCTTATCTTAGCTTAGCATAATTCGTTGAATCAGATAAGACCATTACCATATAGCTCTCTTATTTATAGCTTGATTCTTCTGTACATTGTATACTAAGACATTGAAAGAAAAGGCACCTGTTCAAAAGGCACACATTTGTACTTAAAGAGTGCTTATTGGTACCCTAAAAATATATATTAGTAGCTAAAAAATTTAAGAGGAACACTTTTATACTTTTTAGGTACTATTATGTACTCTTGAGGCATCAATATGAACCTTTAAGGTACAAATTTGAACCTTTTAAAAAGGTATCACCCCAGTGACAGCTTGCGTACCCTAATATCTGAGAGTGTTGGTTGATACGGGTAGGACATATGCTCTCCTCCTGGTGTAATAATAATTAAGGAACTTTGCTATTTTTGAGTATTTTCATAGCCATATAGACCTAGAAAACTTTTAATTTTCTGTTGGTCTTAGTACACAATGTAACATTAGAAGAGTCTTTTAATAGGAAAGTTATTGAATTATTTACTTAATTTTTGAGAGAGTTGCTAATGGTCTAATACGATTCAATGATTTGTGCTAAACTAAGCTAAAAGTGTTTTAAAAACTGTTTAACTTGTAAAATTAGGCTTTTTCCAAAGAAAATAGAGTGTTCTTTTAAATACGTGATCTCAAATTGTGGATACAAACTGCTAGCTGAACTAATATTGTTTACTGGCCAGTAACACTAATCAACAAAGCAGTCTCCCGTAGTTAGTTAATTAATTTGAGGACATTGTTTTGACAGTCTTGTTTGATTTCTTTTGATCGTGTCAAAATGCCTGGTTGTTTTTGGATGGCATAATGAAAATGTCAGTTCATTTTTCATTTCTCTCGACAAATAATTAATCAAAATAAGAAAAAAAAGTTTGGAGTGTGCGCTGTAGAGCTGACCAAAACAAACAAGTGTCACTTTAAATCACTCTGTCATGTTTTCTTGACATGCTGGAGTATTAGCGTGGCATTTAATTAGCTGATAATGTTTCCCTGGTCTTGGCCGGGATTAAGAGCTTCTCTTCGGTCCAAACTAATTAACTGGCTTCACAAAACAAATGCCTCATGAATAAAAACAGTGGAATATCCCATCCATTTTTTCCTCCAAGTCACATCAACACACACACACACACACACACACACATTGGAGCTCATCAATTTACAGTGTTTTTCTTTCAGAGAAGTGTCTCCACATGCCCACACTCCATGTTTGCAATTCTCTGAACAAGGAGAATTTAGAATCTTTCCTCTCTGCAGTGTTCAAATTGCCTTGGGCTGTTTTTCCAGGTGCAGCCGAGGAAAACCATGGCTAAACTCCCCCTGCAGGCAAACTTCTACCCCATGACCAGCATGCTTTACCTGCAGGACTCCAGCGCCAGACTCTCGCTGCTCACTGCACAGTCGCTTGGAGCGGCCAGCCTTAAAAGCGGTCAGTCTTCACTCACTCACAAGTGCTTCAAGCTTTCCTTTTGTTTAAAAACCTCAAGTATACACTAATGGAGGGTTTACCCCATGTTTGTTAGAGGCCATCGAAGATCCAGAAATTTAGAAAAAAAAGTATTATTTTAATGAATAATGGCCTCACAAATGCTTGAGTTGAAAAGCTTAGATATTGGAATTTTTTCTTATTTAAATATACCTATTCAAATGGTAATTGATACGTTAATAATGTATTTTACCAATTAGAAATGTTGGTATAAGTGAGATTTATTCATTTACATCTTACCAAAGTACAATTGCTGACAAAATATTAAGCAGACCGGGTGTTTTCAGCATTGATTATAATAAGAATTTGTCATATTTTATTTTAATGTTTAATTTAATAATGGTCATATTTTATTTTAATAATTAACTTTAAAAATAGTACCATATATAGCAATATCGCACCCGTAGCAGTGCGATATGGCTGGTTGTGTGTCCCGCCAGTGACATTATATAGCCATATCGCACTGCTACGAGTGTGATACTGCATTTATACAACAGTTTGACATCATAATCGTCTGTATAAAAAATTTAATTAAATACGGAAAGTCTCAAATATTCTTTTGTAAGAGGAACTACTTTGCTTATTTTATTTTATAATGATTTGATTAACTACAGTTTGAAATTACGTTGAGTTTTTCTCCCCTAAGAGCTGATTATGCGATCTCTGTTGCCATCTTGTGGCAAAACGTCAACCATCACAAAACATTTGCTCTGGTTGACCAACCTCAACCATCTTTGCTCTGGTTGACCAACGTCAACCATCTTTGCTATGACAAACTGATGGCCGCCGATCTCTGAAATTATAAATATTTAAAATAGGCACTATTCTTATAAATAAACTGCGTAGTTGCAATCTAAATAACTACATTCAGGCTTAAAAAAAAGCCCCAAAATTACATCATGTTGTCCAACAGCTGCAATATTTGTCAAACTGTAGTGAGTTAGTTTAGCTTGCTGCCTAGCACTCTATGTGGGCGGAGTAATACACAAGGGTGTAGAGGCTGTATTAGTGCTGTTATTGCAGAGTATCGCACGTCTATCAGCCAAATCAGATTTGAGGAACAGATAGAACTATATATATATGTCAAGCTCAATAAACTACTAATTAGCTGCTTATCATTAGTTAGTTAAGGTAGTAGTTGTCTTTAGGTAATGGGTAGAATTGGAGATCATATTTGATAAGTGCTAATGAACAGTTCATATCTTAATAATAGACGGGTAATAAGCCAGTAGTAAATGGTGTGAAGTGTTACTTAAACTAAAGTGTTTAAGTGCACCAATTTGAATGATTTCTGATGGATCATTTGACACAGAATTTAAGATTACTAAAATATGTTGAGCCAATCAGTTACCATAAATGTTTTTAGTAAGCTAACTCATAGTGGAACTTTACATTTTTATTTTGTACTACAACATCATTCTAGTAGTAAAACAAACACATTTTAAACAATAACACCTAATTTCAACATTTATTTTTCTTATTCAGTCTGACAGAAAAAATGCTGGGAACTGGAAATCTCCTTGAACTCAGCAGCACAGATTTCATATAACTTTTTTTTTAAATACCCACAAATATGAGTGAAATACATTGATAGAATTTAATTAAAGGGATAGTTTACCCAAAAAAGAACATTTCTTTGAATTGATTTAATATAAATTAAATATAAGTTCTGAATATTCTGAAGAGTGCTGGAAAAAAGAAAAAAAATTGTCTATAGTGTATGAGTGTGTGTGTGAATGTGTGTGTGGATGTTTCCCAGAGATGGGCTGCAGCTGGAAGGGCATCCTCTGCGTAAAAATGTGCTGGATAAGTTGGCGGTTCATTCCGCTGTGGCGACCCCAGATTAATAAAGGGACTAAGCTGACAAAAAAATGAATGAATGAATTAATTAACTAATGATATACAAGTATATATAAATTGCACTGACCTGCAAAATAAAGGCCACTTAAATGGTTTGTGAGCAATATTATCTGATTATCGTAGGAAATAATTCCATAAGGCAACTGACTGTGTAAAACCACATAAAAGCAAAACAAAAATGCAATGTATATGCTGAGTTCAGCGGCTAATTAGCCGGAATCAGCTGAGGTGATGTGACTGCAACCAACAAGACCTAGCTGTCACTCAAGTGATTATGCAGACTCAATAGGACTTAATTATGCAAACTTAATATAATAATAAAATAAAACGAAATGGATGAGTTAAAAAAAAAATTTACCTCCTCACAGTATATATACCAAAACCATCCTTTATACCAGGCTGTAAACATGTTTTATTAGCTGTAAAATTCGCCAATTTAGCATTGCAGTGAGTGAACATTTAGAGTTCTTGGAGCCAACCCCCAAAGGCCAGTCGACAAATTGCCATTTCAGTTACTTCTGTATTGGCTTCACGAGGGAGTGCAGGATCTAAACTCTTTACACACACACACACACACATATATATATATATATATATATATATATATATACATATACATATATATACATATATATATTATTTATATATACAGTTGAAGTCAGAATTATTAGCCCCCTTGTTTTTTTTTCCCACCAAAATTCTGAGAGATCTTTTTCAACACATTTCTTAACATAATATTTTTGATAACTCATTTCAAATAACTTTTAATTTTAATTAATAACTGCTTTTATTCTAGCCGAAATAAACCAAATACGACTTTCAAATACGACTGAAGAAAAAATATTATCAAACATACTGTGAAAATGTTCTTGCTCTGCTAAACATCATTTGGTAAATATTAAAAATTATAATTATAATTAATAGTTTTTAATTTATTTAATTACATGTTTTTGTATATATCATGCTTAAATCATGGTGTTGTAAGGATGCCTTGTATTATAGAACTTTTAGCCACTGATTGAGAGATTTCTTGTGTCAGTTTATGTATGCTGAAGAACATGATTGGCACAAATCACCTAAAGAAGGAACCCAGTACCAAGATTTTCTAGTTTACTAGAGAAGCTCTCACTCATATTGTTACGCTGATCACATAAAAGCACAAAACAGTAGCATTTCATGTACTTTGCTTTTAGACATTTGGACCCTGCTGGGTATGCTGATGTACTCATAAAACAAAAATTACTTCAAGCACATCAATTTTTATAATATGCAGCTTTCCTCCCCTGGAAAATGAGCTAGAATCGTATTCTCAAGGACGTATACATTTGATATTTATTCAGTAAAAAGCTCTTTATAATGATGATATCCCTCTCAGATAAATAAATACCACGTGCCAGCCTAATGCTGCAGCAAAATGATTTGGCAGCCTATCAATCAAACACACTAACAACTATCCTTCGAGGTATGCTTCAATATACACGGCCTTACATAAATAAATAAATAATAAATAAAGCACTGCTTTAGGTGTATGTGAATTAGAGGTTAAAAAACACTCCATTGTTGACTGTGAAGTGCTTTTGTCTATAAAATACAATCTGTCAAGTGTCAAGTTTATATAAACATAGATGGTGCTCAAACGTGAGACTCACACATGATTTCTACATGTCATCAATCAGTGTTCGGATGAAGTACATGTGATGTCCTGCTGAAGCTCATTAGTGTGGTTTCCACAGGTCAGCTGGAGGTGATAATGGACCGCAGGCTCAATCAGGATGACAATCGAGGGTTGGGACAGGGAGTGCTGGACAACAAGATCACAGCCAACTCCTTCCGCCTGCTGCTGGAGAAGAGGATCTCTGTGGAGGAGGTAATCAGGACGGACAGATGATTGAATTAAAACAGAACTAATGTGCATTTATTCTTTGGTGCATATGATCACATCAATCTGATCAGTCTTGGCTGGTTCCTACAATGTACACTCACACCGGTGTGATTTCAATGTTCAGTGTGTAGCCTGATCAGCTGCTAAATTCAAATCTTGTTTCCTGTCAGAAAATTTTGAAAATGGGGTATATATATATATATATATATATATATATATATATATATATATATATATATATATATATATATATATATATATATATATATATATATATATATATATATATATAACAATTTTGGCTTATATTATATTATATTATATTATATTATATTATATTATATTATATTATATTATATTATACTTTTTTTCCAAGACGAGAATTTTTTGCTCGTCTAGAAAATGCTTCTTGATTGAAGAATCTTTAGATATTTGAACTAGAAACAAGAAGTAAGAAAAGCAATTTTTGCAGGTTAGTGAGTTAATGCCATGCGAATAAACAGGCTTGTGAATGTCACAAAACAACAGTGGAAAAACAACTATAATACTACATTACAATACTACTACAATACTACAACTATGATACTTTATATCAACTCGTACTCCTTTTCTTATGATTGTTTTTCACAATTCAGACTTTTCCACTCAGAGTTCTAAGTTTGTGTCTTGCAATGCTTTTCTCTGAACTGCAAAGACATAAATTGGAATTGTGAGATAAAGTTGTGATTGTATTTTTTATGAAATTTTCATGCTTTGGAAATTACTTCTCATGTGTAACAAGTCAATAATAAAAAAAAAATAAATTTTATCAATAAAAGAATAAATCTCAGAATTTTAAGGTTACTTTTTGTACTTCTGAGTACAAAATGAAAAATGTTTTGTGAAATAAAAGTTTGAAATAATATTAAATGTATATATGTTGAAGTCAGAATTATTAGTTTAATATAATTTTTTTACCCAGTTTCTGTTTACGGGAAAAAGATTTTTTGTCAACACATTTATAAACATGATCGATTTATTAACTCATTTCCAATAACTTATTTATTTTCTCTTTGCCATGATGACAGTAATATTTGACTAGACATTTAAAGGCTTAACTAGGTTAATCAGGTTAACTAGGCAGGTTATCGTAATTAGGCAAGTTATTGTATAGCGATGGTTTGTTCTGTAGACTATCGAAAAAAATATATCTTAAAGGGGCTAATAATATTGTCCATAAAATGACTTTTAAAAAATTTAAACTGCTTTTATTGTAGCCGGAAAAAATACAAATAAAAACAAATAAGACTTTCTCCAGAAAAAAAAAATATATATATATATATATATATATATATTATCAGACATACTGTGAAAATGTCCTTGCTCTGTTGAACATCATTTGGGAAACATAAAAAAAAATTAAAAATAAATCAAAGAGGGGCTAATTATACTGACTTCAACTCTATAAATATATATATATATATATATATATATATATATATATATATATATATATATATATATATATATATATATATATATATATATATATATACTCACACACACAAAACATTGATAACAAAATTTGAAAATAAGACAACACATTGGAACTTTTGGAACAGTTGACTGGTCACATATTTCCTTACGGGTCACATTAACAAATACATATAAAGATCAGTTTATACTGTGTAACGGCATAAGTACAATCAATTTCCCCAATATTGCAGGTATTTGTCTGTTTGTAGTTTTAATGAAAAAGTCATCCTCATATTTTGAACATTAGATACAATATCCAGCCATTCAGATTTTGTAGGAGGTTCGAGCTGTAGCCACTTTCGAGGCTTGAGGTTGCTAAAAGTATTTTTATTAAATTCTGGTCTTTTACCATTAAGTTGGCTGCAGTATTTTCCAGGTTAATTGTTGTAAAAGAAAGATTTATTCCATCATCAAAAATACTATACTAATACTATTATTTACATTACATCCTGCCAGTATGACTAAATGCAAACTTTATATATTATTTACATTTTTAATAACATATTAGAAACTGGCTTTGATATGACAAATCACAATACTTAATCAGGTGATTAAAGTTAAGTGTTATTTTGCATAAATTTCTGAGTTTAATTTAGACTAACTTGCTTTCCTAGAAGGCCATGCCAGTCATATATAAAAGAATATTTGTGCTAATGCAGAATCACATCCTTGCGTAGTTTCCAGGTTTATAAGACAAATAAGTCTGTGCTGATGCTTCACTTTCCTGTATTTGACCCAGAATGAAGCGACGGCACCATACAGCTATCCATCTATCCTGAGCCACATGTCGTACATGTACCTGAACCATCCTCTCATCTCAATGGCAGTTAGTCAGCACTTGGAAGCTCCATCTGTGGTCCCCTACAGCCCTCTGAAAGCCTCCTTCCCCTGCGACATGCATCTGGTCAACCTGCGCGCTATCCAGTCTAAGGTACGTCTCTATCTTCTAGAGCAGAGTTTTTTTCCAGGAGACCTCTACTTTAACATTCAAAATCTTTAATGACCCCTGAGGCCTTAGAAAGACTTAGGCAGACAAGATTTAAAGGTCAGTTGTTTTTTAACACATGCAACTGGTGTTAGATCACACTCTTCACGCCAGATAAATAAGAGCCCTGGACGCCAGTTCCAGTCAGGAAATGTCTGTTTTTCTGAGTATCCAGACAACAAGCTAGCACAGCCACCCAATACCCAAACCTGTTAACCCGTATTCAACTAAATCAACAGTTTCCTATCAATATAGGAGTTGACTGAGAAAACCAGAGAGAAGCAGTAGCAGGAGACAAAGTAATGATGATAAAGAAAGAGTATAGTTTATAAATAATCTTAGTTGCATATGATTCAATGTTCAGAATTTGTCTGGTCATGATAAATTCAACAAGTGGTAATATACCACAAGCAACAGCAATGGAAAATGACAGCTTTACAACACTGTCCAGAGACAATACAGACTTTGAAATGGAGACATTCTCTTATCTCTTTCTCATGAAAACAAGTGTCGCTTGAATCCGAAGTCATAAGATTATAACATTATGGAAAAGTAAGATCATACCATAACCCTATTCTCAGATCCTTAGTCAGATTTTTCATGCATAAAGAAAAAAAATATTACATTAACAATGATGACCATATTTTAAAGTTGGTTGGTTGGCTTACAAATGGTTGACTTCTTTTTTTATTCACATTGTTTATTGTCATTTAATATTTGCAAACGTGCAGAAAAGTTCAGTCTAATTTTAAGATATGAACAAAAACAACAGACAGTCTGAATTAAAATGAATAATTGTAATGAAAATACAATGAATAAAATCCAATTCACACTCGGTTTTAAGGGCCAAGGGGAAGGGGATGGGGTACAAAGATAGAATTGGGATTGGGCCTATGTTTCTGTTTTTTCTTAGTTTGTCCTATTCTGCATCAGCATTACAAATTGTGAAACTAAGGGTGCTTTCACAGCTATACTTTTGTTTCGGAACCTGTCTCGTTTGCCCAGTAAGTGCGGTTTGTTTGGCACATGTGAAACCACCAATCACGCTGGGATCCGCGACAAAACAATCGCTTCGAGATCGCTTGAATGAGGTGGTCTCGGCTCGATTGAAATGAACTTTGGAGCGGATCGATTGTAGTGAGAAAGCAAAGGATCTGAGCCCGGTCATATCACAGTGTTTTTTGGATATGTAATAGCCATACGGCTATATGAAGTTAGAGTTATGAGTAGGGCGGGAGGTCATTCTACAGACATCCCAAGTCTCCCGGAAGTTTCGGTAGTCTCCCGCAAATGCACAGAGACTCCAGGATGCCCGCAAACGAATGATAATCTCCTGGTAATCAGGCGTCTCCCTTCCGTTCCTCAAATACGTCGCGCACCCTTCTTACCCCTCCCCACAGCATCCCTCCTCGCTCTTCAGACACGTCACGCGCACCTTGTCAAACACCACCAAACCATAACCCCCCCCTGTCAGCTGAGCGGGACTCTGCAAAATAAACCGTGAAACTCTGACCAATGTGAGGAGAGTTTACTGACACATGACTTGTTTTAGCTCTTTTGGTCCGTTTAGAAACTTTGCAGTGTGAAAGGGAAACGCACCAAGAGCAAAGAGCAACAATGTAGCGATTTTAATCCCTGTTTCGGAAAAACTGAAAAGATTCACAGGTGTGAAAGCACCCTGAATGATCTTTTGAATGTATAGGTGTACTATCAACCTTACATACAAGAGGATGTATGAATATTCAGTACAAAGCCTTGTACTATATATATATGGCTCAATAATAAATAATCAGGATTACAATTATGGGCGTGCTCACACTGTGTACAGTTGCCTCGAACCGGGCCAAAGCACGCTTGTCCCCCCTCCCGTTTCCCCCGACGGCCTGCACTCACATTACAATCGGGCCTTGGCACGCTTACGTCATCGATGAATCGCTGTTCAGTAAGCGCTCTCGCTCAGCACAGTGGAGATTTCTCTAGTTATATCGCTTTAGTCCGATGTGGTGACACGCAGTCAGATATTTCGCCGAACACATCAGCCACTTTTGATGCTTATAAACAATCATAAAGCCTCGTGCTGCAGGAATTAGGTTTGCTGAAGGTGCGCAGCTGTCATGCAGTGAGGGGTTTGCGAATTTAATAAACTACGGCAGTTTGCGTTCACTAAACAGTAAGAATGATTAATAAATCCATATGAAACAGTCCCTTAAAAGTCACGTCTTGCTTTCACTTTCGGGCTTTGGCTCGTTTTGCACTCACACACAAGCGTACTGCGCCGAAGCCCAAATGAACCACGCTCTGAGCCCGATTCAGCGCAATCACACTTCTCAAACGATCTGGGAAACGGGCCTGGGCACGGTACGGATAGCACAGTGCGAGTAGGCCCTATGACTACCCATACTCGAGCAGCCCTACTGAATTATTACGCACTGGACATCTATACATGCGCCATCTAATACATTTTTTAATATTACATCAAATTAGTAATTTTAGTCCAAACACCTAATTCCACTGACATGTGATATTTTAAAAAAATTGCCTCACAGGCTGCATGACTGTTCCCGATGGGCTGTTTGTGCACCATAGTTTGGCCAACACTATTCTAGAGTGGTTAAAAGGAAACTGATTGCTGTTTTGGATGTACTGTAACTGGCTCAATTCCTAAGAAGACCACAAACATTACTGACCTTCAAATTGACATTTGAAGCTTCTATTTCATTGGGCTGAATAGTAATATTCTAACATGACAGGATAAGAGAAGAACTGTTTAAAAGAGGGCTTTGGTACACTTTGAAAGATTTCAGAAGGATATGATTCATGCTGGCTTAAATGCTTAAAGGCTTGTTATCGTGTGGAGTCCCATTATTCTTGATGCTTAGATAAAAGACTTCATTGTATTCTCAAAACATACTAGAACTTGAAGAACTTGAAATGTCTAAGTAAAACAACTGTCTGTTTATGGAAATGGCATACGAACACATGACTCTTAATAATTAGAACGTTTTCATAAAAGCATAATGGGTAGTTATTCTCCAGGACTACTCCAGAACTAATTATGCCTGAATTTAGGACAAGCTGTTATAAATCCTCAGTTTGATTTTAATAGTTTGTGATGTGGCACATTTCAGCTGAGATTATTAAAAAGGTTTGGTCAATGTATGAGAGTGCTATTAAAAAATGGAAAAGTTAAAAACTAAATTAATTTATTAACATTTTGGCAGGCTGTGAGTTTTATTTGAATATTTTAAAGAACATGCAACAGATTCTTAAAGGTATAGTTCACCCAAAAATGAAAAACAACTCACTATTTACTCACACTTAAAGCCTGGTTTATACTAAGGGTGCATATAAGAGTGCATGTGCTGAATATGACATCATCGCAGCGATAGTGGATGTTTGGAAATTTGTGTGTGTAACACCTTTAGAAATCCAAGGCAATGGTCTGATATGGGCAGCACGGTGGCGCAGTTGGTAGAACAATTGTCTCACAGCAAGGAAGTCGCTGGTTTGAGCGCTGGCTGGGTCAGTTGGCATTTCTGTGTGGAGTTTGCATGCTCTCTCCGTGTTTGTGTGGGTTTCCTCCGGGTGCTCCGGTTTCTCCCACAAGTCTAAAGACCTGCGCCATAGGTGAATTAGGTAAGCTAAATTGTCTGTAGTGTATGGGTGTAAATGAGTGTGTGTGGATGTTTCCCAGTGATGGGTTGCAGCTGGAAGGACATGCGCTACATAAAACATATGCTGGATAAGTTGGCGATTCATTACACTGTGGCGACCCCTGATAAATGAAGGGACTAAGCCAAAAGAAAATGAATGAATAGATGTAAAGTCTTTTAGGTTTCCTTTGAAGCTTTGTGGGAAAATGATGCATATATTTTGCACACAATGCTTTGTAAGTAAAATATTTTACATTTTTATTGTACAGAAGTGTTTACACTAAGTATGAGGTTAGCTTGGATATATACACTCACCGGCCACTTTATTAGGTACACCTGTCCAACTGCTTGTTGACACAAATTTCTAATCAGCCAATCACATGGCATCAACTTAATGCATTTAGGCATGCAGACATGGTCAAGACAATGTAGTGCAGTTCAAACTGAGCATCACAATCGGAAAGAAAGGTGATTTAGGAGACTTTGATTGTGGCATGGTTGTTGGTGCCAGACAGGCTGGTCTAAATATATTAGAAGAGGCTGATCTACTGGGATTTTCACACAACCATCTCTAGGATTTACAGAGAATTGTCTAAAAAAGAGAAAATATCCAGTGAGCGGCAGTTCTGTGGGCGCAAATGCCTTGATGATGCCAGATGTCAGAGGAAAATGGCCAGACTGGTGAAAAAAAAGCAACAGTAACTCAAATTACTTGTTACAACCAAGATATGCAGAAGAGCATTTCTGAACACCAAACACGTCCAATCTTGAGGCGGATGGGCTACAGCAGAAGACCACACCGGGTGCTGTTCCTGCCAGCTGAGAACAGGAAACAGACCAAAATTGGACAATAGACGATTGGAAAAACGTTACCTAGTCTGATGAGTCTAATTTCTGCTGAGACATTCGGATGTTAGGGGCATAATTAGGCATCACGAACATCACATGGATCCATCCTGCCTTGTATCAACAGTTCAGGCTGTTGGTGGTGGTGTGGGGGATATTTTCTTGACACACTTTGTGCCTATAAGTACCAATTGAGCAATTGAATATTGTTGCTGACCATGTCCATCTGACCATGTCCATGCTGACCATGTCCATCCCACAGTTAAGACAACAGTGTACTCATCTTCTGATGGCTACTTCTAGCAGGATAACGCACCATTTCATATTGTGCAAATCATCTCAGACTGGTTACTTGAACATGTCAATGAGTTCACTGTACTCAAATGACCTCCACAGTCACCAGATCACAATACAATAGAGCACCCTTGGTATGTGGAGAAACAGGAGATTCCCATGATGGATGTGCAGCCAACAAATCTGCAGCAACTGCAGGATGTTTTCATGTCAATATGGAGCAAAATCTCTGACGAATATTTCCAGTACCTTGTTAAATCTATGCCACAAAGGATTAAGGCAGTTCTGAAGGCAAAAGGGGGTCCAACCTGGTGCAAGTAAGATGTACCTAATAAAGTGGCCAGAGAGTGTAAAACCATATATAAAACAAGTTACTTATTTAAACAACTGTATTAAAAGCAAACAATGGTATGAGTGTCTTCTAGAATTATCTGCATCTTATTACTTTTATACATAACTAAATTCATTCATTTAGCAACTATTTTAGCAAGGGTTTCAGCTTTCTTCAAAATATTAGCAGCCTAAAAACTTAGCAGCTTATATGGATAAAGTCATTTTACAATGGTTTAAAGTTTCTTTTTTCACTGTCCCTGCAACTTCCACTGAAGGACACCCTTTATGCATTTCCAAATTAAAAGGTGTTTTTAAAGCATGGAGGACATCGATTACGTTTTATTGTTTTATTCCTTTATTCCTTTATTGAGTTATGAGAGCTTTATGGACTGTGCAGATTGTTGTACTGTTTGTTTCTTTTGTTAATCTCCTGCTCTGAGTTTACTCTGATGAGAGATTCTGCTGAGCGGAGATGTCTGTATGAATATGTTCCTCTTTTATTGTTCAGAATGTCATGAAGGGACAAGTACAAATTCGAGAGCATTTTATGATGAATAATGACAGTTCGTGGAATGTTCTGGGTTCAGTTCAAGTGCTATAGAAAATAATTTCCACTCATTTTAGTTTGGAAAAGAAAAGTGCACTTGCCATATGTTTTGAATATCGAGGCTGTTTTGAAATTATAGTCAAAGATTTAAAGGTACTACCTATAATTTTTTGCTAAGTGCAAGAACCTTAAGCATGACAATTTTAGAAATATGAATCATGTAAACATATTAATGTGACATATCAGTTGTTACACATGGTTTTGACTGACTAATATTTACAACAGAAGCAGTAATAATATTTACATTATTATTATTTAGTGTTATATAGTAAACATCATACATCCAGACCAATAGGTGTCAGTATAAAATAATCAAAACAACTGAGTGAAGAAGAGATAAATATAAATAAAAAATTATATGCGAGTGATGAAATTTTCAGACACCAAACAAATTTGGCGGAAAATTGATAAGTGGTTTCCAGCAAAACTGTTTTGTAAGGTTGAAATCAGTGACTGAAACAGGGCTATTTAAATAGATCTCTAAATGAAAATGATAATTAAACTTGTCTAATGGGCATTTATACTAGTCTATTTTGTGTATAAAAAATAGAGATTAGACAACAGAAATTCATGTTCAAACTGTTATTGCAATACATAAATTCAACTTGTTTAATGTGTTGTGAATGAATGCTGTAGCCCTTTCACTTATAGAAGCAGACAATTTCATCCTATTGCATGCATTATATCAAAACACTGATCCCAAAATTAAAAAAGAAAAAACATATATAGTTACTTTTATAAAAACCCAATGAATTTTTTTTGTTGTTAATGGGTCTAAAACAAAGGTGCCCAAACTTTTCCTATGAAGAGCCAGAAACCAAACTTGGCTGTGGGCTGAAGGGAAATATTCCAAACTGTTATACATCGAAGTTTCAATGATCCTAACATTTAAAACATTTAGAATTTCCTAACATTTAAAAATAACTAGAAACATTGCTTTAACTTATATTAACTAATGCAGTATATTAAAATAACTATAAATCATTTTTTACAGTAAAAACATAAACAGTCCCATTAATAACGCAATAGAGTTCAATGCTGAATACACTAAGCTGCCTTTGTCATCTATTCATCGTGTGACAGTATTTACATTTTTAAAAAATCTGATTCATTTACAAAACAAACGACGGCTACAATAAATTTAAAATGAAGATCTCTGTCATATCTATTCCCCCCATCATTCTCCCTCTCTCCTCTGGGACTTTTAGCCAAATCAAAAGTTAGCATGAGTCAACTTTGACCCACAGGCCCTACTTTGGGCATCTCTAGTCTAAAATATTATTCAGAACGTATTTAGCTTCTATGAAGTTACATTAATACTTACATTAAAAGTTACAATAATAATATGGTTTTAGTAATTGACAATTTATTTAATTTTATTATTTGTTTTATTTATCTTATTTAGTTATTTCATTAAAGTTGCATTTATTTTAATTAAATTTTGTTTAATTTATTTATTTGAAATTTATTTAATCATATTTTTGTATGAATTATTTAGTACATGAAATAATGTCTTTGCCCAGTTTTTATTTATTTGTGTTCTTTTATTCTAATGTGTTTACTTTAAAATGTTCAATTATTTAATGTTTTTTTTATATAGTTTTATTATAATAAATTTCTGTTAAAAATGTATTTATTATTTTAGAAATGTTTGGCTGCTTTGCATTATGTATTAATTATATTATAAATATTGTTTTAAATATGAACTATTTGTGATCATTTTTAACACAGTCTTTATTAATTTTTAGGAACTTTTAACTAATGAAAACAAAACAAAACTACAATACTAATTTATTTAAAAAAAAAAAAAGTAAAGGAAAAGAAAAATTGAACAAGATTTTAGTTTAGCCAATGTTTAAATCAGAGATGCCCAAACTATCTGAGGGAGTAAGAGAGAGGGAGTAAGAGAGAGAATGATGGTGATCGTTTAGAGATTGTCATTTCAAACTTTAGGTAATCTTTTATTTGTTTGTTTTATTATTAAACTACTGGAAATGAATGTTTAAATTTAAATGGTTTAAATTAATCAGATTTTCTTTCAAATGTACATACTGTATTCCGAGGCATAGAGGATAGTGCAGAGACTCTGGTGAGTGAATCAAGGCAAAGGCCGATTTTGCTTAATTAGTGTATTCAGCATTGAACTACTCTTGTTTATAATACGTTTATATTTCAGCAAGCAAAAGACTATAACAGGGAACTGGCTTAAAGACTCACCATTGAAATGTAAGCAGTGGTTGAAGATAATTGAAGAAACGCATGCAATGGAAAAACAGATATTTTCAGAAAGGTTTGGGAAAACGGTTGATATAGGGAATATAAAGACATCTCTATTTAAGTAAAATGTATTTGGAAGAGATATAGCAATCTTATGCATTTTGCTTTCTTTTTTTACTCTGTGCATGTATGTATATATATATATATAAATGCAATATCTCTGCTTCATAAAGAAAAGTGAAAAATAATTTCAGCCTTCCTCCATCAATCCATTGTAAGTGCATTACTGTAAACGCAATCTCTGTTTGCCGAAATGATTTTCAGCCCCGTCACATGTTGTCGATAAAGCTGAAGTTATTTGGAAGCGGGATGATTGTGCTGAGCTGCAGCTGATGAGTGAAAAAGCAGAAAGCGCTTGATAATTGGCCCAGTGTGAGCGCGTTTGTGAAGAAACAGTGTTGTGTTGATGCGGCCTGAGGCTCTGTCTCTCTCCACTTTCACAGGAGGAAGGGGGAGCTGCGTCCGAGCAGGCGGCTTTGATACTGCACAGAAAAGGCTTTGACTGTGGCTTCTCCAATCGCAACACTGGCCTACTGTGTACCAGCACACGTGGCAAGGTAAAGCAGATCACGAGGCGTCTCACACACACACACTACAGCAATTCAGAGGCAGAGGTCAAAACTGCTTTAAAGGGTTAATTCACCCAAAAATAAAAATGATGTTAATAATTACTCACCCTCATGTTGTTACATCCCCCTGAGGCCTTCTTTCGTCTTCAGAAAACAAATGAAGATATTTTAGGTGTAATTGGAGAGCTCCCTCATCCTTCATTAATAGCATGATTCCTGACTTGTTCAGAAAAACATCCTCAGAACAGATTGAATGCCTTTAGTGGTTCAATTGAAATATTATCAATAAATTAGAACACGTATTGTGGGCACATAAATTAAATATAACAAGTTTATTAAATTCTTTCTTCTCCTCAGTGTCAGTATAGGGCGCACGCTCACAAGCACTCATATTTTTTACTCATTTAAAGTCCAGAAAAACACAAAAAAAATCCTCAAAACTTCAAACTGAAATTCCTGGAGGGCCGCAGCTCTGCACAGTTTTTCACCAACCCTTATCAAACACGGCTGATCCAAATAATCAAGGTGTTCAAGACTACTAGAGACTATTAAGCCTGATTCATACTACGTCAAGTGCACGCGTATGCTATGGCGCAGCCTACATGGACACATAGCCCTCGCCATGGCCGTCTGCGACGTTGAAGTGCACCTCTCAAAAAATGTAACTACAGGTCACAACGACGCATAGCGCAAGCTCTGTGATTGGTCGGCTTGGTAGTGCTGAAGAGTGTGGGCTGAAGGTAGAGCAAGCCCGATGCAGCCAGTGTTTACAAGTGTCGAGTCCTATGAGGGGACTCCAGATGGACACTGTTGTTTTGTGTTTACCTTATGATTAAAGTTGTTGCACGTCCGCCTATTCCCGCCTCAAAATGTGCAAGTTTGAGCCACTTGTACATTAAGGTAGCGTTGAGAAAAAAACTCGACACAGAGGAACATAAAGACCTACTGCCAGCTAGCGTTTCGGATGTGTTATTGCAAAGGAACACATACAGCGTGCAGAATTATAAATGCATGGCTATGTGCACTTGACGCAGAAGTATAAACCAGTCTTTAGTTGTTGAAGGTGGTTGGAGCTAAACTATGTTGAGCTGCTGCCCTTCAATAATTATATTTGAGACCATTGCTCTATTTGATACAAAACAGAGGCACATCCAAATTGTACATGCACCCTATTCTAACACTGAGGAGATGAAATTGTTGATTTAGTTCATTTTGTTTAATGTGCGAACAAAAGTATTTTTGTAGCGTTATAATATTCTGATTACATTGCTAAAGATGTTTTTGAATTTTTATTACAGCATTTAAATGAGTAAAAATACTAATGTTAATACTGGTTGTTTAAAATCTAGATAACGTTTAATTTTAATGTACAATTCACGCTGTTAACAAACTATTAGCTAAGGCTATTTTTTTTAATTTAAGTTATTTGATATATGGGAATTTTTAGCTCTGCCCCTTTTTGAAAAGAGGGCTGGAAGCAGAATGTCTATTTAAAGCGACCGTCACTAAAATCGCACGATTATGAGAAATGTTAAAATAATAATGTTAATGGTAATAATATTAATGTGACTAAACTTTTTTTTTCTTTTGGGTAAGTTAGAATTATCAAATTTGTTTCTGTTATGCTTAATAGCAGAATAATGAGAGATTTTTGAGCAACTGTTATAACTTTTCTTGAAAGTCAAGTTTACATACAATAAGATTATTATGCCCTCTGAAAAAGCTCAGATAATGATGTCAAGGTTTTGAAAGTTTCTGATTGGTTAATTGACAACATTTGAGTTAATTGGAGGCACAACTGTAGAATTGTATTTAAGGAAAACCTCAAACACACGGCTTCCTTGTGTGACAACATGGGAAATTCAACAAGCCAGAATCAAAAAAAAAAAAAAAAAAAAAAAGCCAGATTACAATTTGCTAAATAACCCTGGGAAACAGACACATTTTTGGAGAAATAAGTCTTTCTAGCAGACCAGGGGCCTCATGTACAAAGACTTGCGTGGAAATCATACTAAAACATTGCGTACGCACAAAGCTGTAAATGTGCGTACGCAGAAAAAAATTCAGATGTATGAAACACTGTGTACGCCGAATCTCACGCATATTCTTTTGTACATCCGAATGAACCTGAAACTGAGTGCAACATGCACGAGCACAAAACCCCTCCCTGCCTCCTCCCCCGTATGAATATGCTAATGACTATACTTTGGCAAATCCCAACAAAAAAGCAAAGGCAAAAGCAAGCAAAAAGAGAAACTTTGAACAGAATGTGAATTGGAGGTGCTGCTTTCGGAGGTAGAACGGAGAAAAGCGGTGTTATTTGCAAGTTTGTTCTCCGGAATTAACAACAAAAGAAAAAAATATAGTGGGAGAGTTTAGCTGATGCGGTTAACACAGTTGGGTCTGAACATCGCATCGAGTGAATTAAAAAAGAAATAGTGTGATTTATAGCTGTAAAATGTTGCAAAATTCTTAACAGTCTCAGTGGCACAGCTTGTAAGATGCAGGGTATCATGTTTTGACACGTCCGAGCATGAACTCGGTTCGAATCCAGCTTCTGATGAACTCTTTCTTCTTTTTTCTCCCGCTACATATAAGATTTTGCCAACTATTTATCACGAGAAGGACAAGTAGGAATCATTAATAAGTCTGTGCATCATATTTTATTTACACATTTATTGAATGGAAATGTTTCTGATTCACGCATGTGAATTCATCTTCAGATAGTGTCTTTATAGCAATGTGCGTGCAGTAGATAGCTCAGATTACATTGGGAAAACAGGCGACCGCTGCAAATTGCGTTTAATGTTTAGCTGGTCAACTGTATGGTATGGAAACCTTATATACCTGCTAGATGAACCCGTCTCATACAGCTGCCATTGCAAGGCTCAGACACTTTGTAGAGAGTAATTTAACACAACTGCCTCTAGGAGTCGCCAATGGAAATAAAACACACACGCACAAAAAATGTGCGTACACCAGCCATAAAGCTGCATAAAGTGCTTTAAGGATAACAGAGTGAATGTTTTGGAGTGGCCATCACAAAGCCCTGATCTCAAGCCTGATCTCAAGCTTGTGCGAGCAAAACAAATCTGACTCAGTTACACCAATTCTGTCAAGAGGAATGGGCCAAAATTCCTGCTAACTATTGTGAGAAGCTTGTGGAAAGATACCCAAAACAGTTATACAGTTTAAAAGCAAAGCTAAAAAATAGCAAGGTAATGTATGTAAAGTTTTTGACTTCTAGAAATTAATACAAAATTCTCCAAAAAAGAAATTCTCTCGTTATTCTGGCATTTAGCAAATGGTCTGTAATCCTAACAGACCTAAAATATTTAACGTTTTGTAGGATTTACCATCAGACATTTAAAAAAAAATGGGTATGTTCCTTTTTTTAGAGTGTATGGAAACTTCTGGTTTTAACTGTATGCGTATTTGAATCTCTAATCCTAAAATAAGTGTTATTTGTATGAAAGCACAGATAAATTGTGATTCATGACATGCACTGCATACCTCTTTCTGTGCCTCATCGTACACCGTAAGATTTGAATTTTAAAAGTTGATGACATGTGCTCTGAACGCTCTAAACACAAAGGTGTGATTTGTACTCTTCATGGACCAACAAGTGCTGATCACACCGGTGTGATCGTACGCTTTAAAGGGTTGAAAACATTAATACACACTACAATACAAGTAAAAATTAAAACTCAAATCTCCAGTAATGTATAATACTACAGTGACAACGCAGTGAATCTGATCATCGTATTGGAAACACAACTCTTGGTCTGAAGCTCAAACGGAGCAAAGTTTGGATGGCCACAAAGTCTAAGCGATACGCTCTAAACACAAATCAACTGCAGTTACTCTGCATATTAAGAAGGGGACTGGTTTAACATCAAACAAAAACGATACACTTCACCTCTCTGTAAATAACGGAATGCCCTATTTAAAGAAAGAGTCCCTTAAGTGTATTAAAGTTGTTTACTTTCCACTTACTTCACAGGCTTAGCTGGAAAATGTCAGATATGCTAACCATCTCACTTTTTACAAGTGGAAAAATCAAAGTCTAAAGCTGTGAGTCAATGCTTGCTTCAACATGCGACGCAAAGGCTCTAACTAACAAACTGTGTTTATGTGTGTGCGTAGATTGATTTGGAGAAGCTCCTGACGGATCTAAAGGTGAAAAGCATCACTCCTGTGTCTCTGTCTCTGATGCACACGCTCAGTAGTGAAAGCAGGCCGCAGGAGATCAGCCTTAAAGCCATGGAAATCAGGACTTACCGCCTGGAGCTGAGCTGAGTTCATGCAAAAGAGCCACAAGGTTGTTGTCTTCAGCCAAGGACTCGGTAAAATGATTGTCAGCAGAAACCTTAAGCTTCACAGCAAAAGTGCAATATGAAATCTCCAAGAATTCCCAACCAGCTCTCTCAGGTTCTTTTAACGCAACGTGATGCTTTTTATTTGTGATTCACTGTGCTGAGACATTTTGCACTGTGAAGAGAACAAGTTTGTTTGTTTTTTTTGGGCTGGAAGTGTTGAACACATTGGGGCCGGTGCTAGAATCATTCTCGTTTCTCTGTTACTCGGTGAAAAGAAAAAGCACCAGAGGATTTTATTTGTTTTTTATCCTCACAATTCTCCAATGAAAGTTAATATATATATATATATATATATATATATATATATAGAGAGAGAGAGAGAGAGAGAGAGAGCGAGAGAGAGAGAGAGAGAGAGAGAGATTGTAAATTTTGATTTATTTTGAGTTTTTCTACTATAGTTTTTATTTTGTTTATAGTTTTTCTTTATTAGTGCTTTATTCATTTGATTTTTGTTTAGTTTATTACATTAAATGTGTGCTGCAGTCTTGACAACACAACCTGGAAGATTTTACTTTTAATGCTAAAACATTAGTATAAGATCATAAATCATGCTCCATGAAGATTTTTTTTTCTAAATATATAAATATAAATACTTCTTTATAAAAACTGAATATTTATTTAGTAATATGTATTGCTAAAAAACAAATTGACACTTATTTGTGATCCAGGGTGATAAATGTTTATCGCAAGCAATTTATAAATTGAAAAAACCATGAAAAGCCACACTGGGGTGTCCACGGAGTCTTCAAAAGTATTAAAAGTTTCTAAATCAATTATAAGAAAATTAAGGGTCTTAAAAAGGTATTAAAAAGTATTTTTATGAGGCCTGAAATTTAGTTCAAGCGTTGTCCAAAGTGTTTGACTCCAAAAAAGCAAATATTTATTTTCCTTCTAATATTAACAATGACTTGCTCAATCCACACCATTGGTTTGTCCGGCCAACCTCCTCGTCCGGGTGATGTTACATAATTTGTGACAAACACAGGAAGGAGATGTAACGCTCTCCACATGTCGTGAAGCCATAGAGCGTAACAGACGACAAAATGGGAAAATTAAAGTTTGTGCACTCCTGGTTGGAGAAAGGCGAGTTTAAACGGGGGCTTAAATCTGAGCTCTGTTGCATGGTTGTGCTTCATTGATTTATTTAACTACAACTGTTTTTTAACAACTGTTTATTAAGTTAAAGGTTTGATACCGATTAGAACTTGAAGTGGTAATGAGGGTCTTTAAAAAGTCTTAAAAAGGGTATTGAAATTATCTTTAGGATTCCTGCTTCCTTTGATTCCTTTAGGATTCCTCCTTCTTTGGGTTTTTGACATCATGGTTGCTGCACTATTTTGTTTTATAGTTTTATATATATATATATATATATATATATATATATATATATATATATATATATATATATAATTTTTTAGTGCTTAATTCTGTTTATTTTTATTTAGTTAATTACATTAATGTGGAAGTGACGCAGACATTTTTTTTTGTATATATTAGACACGCATCTGATGCTTGTATTTGCACCAGCACACATCCACAACATCATACATTGGGTTAAATTAGACTGTCCAATCTCTGTGTTCAGACCATTATTCCACTTTATCTGTTCAGCTAAGCGAACGGATCCGACCCTGTGATGTCTGACACAGTGATATTCCAAGATGGCGACACCCTAGGTCTAAAAACTGTAGTAAAACATGCCATTTTTGTCAAAACGGTTACAGTAATCGAGTTTAAGATATTTTTATTAAAGTGGAAACCAATTTACAAAATAAGGTAAACCTGACAGACTGCTTTACTTCCACATTAAATGTGTGCTGCAATCTTGACAATACCACCTGGAAGATTAATTCTTCTTTTAATGTGAAAAATCATCTGAATATTTAGTAAAGATCAGAAAAATCTCAAGTTAACCAACAGTGAGTCAGTCTTTGGGGTTTTGACATCATGGTTGCAGCACTATTTTATTATTGTTTATTTTATTTAAATTTTATTTGAATGTTTTTATAGGAATTGTTTCTTTATTAGTCCTTAATTAATTTTATTTTAATTTTGTACATTACATTAAATGTGTGCAGCAGTCTTGACAACACGGCCTGGAAAATTACCTTTTATGTGAAAAATCATTAGAATATCAAAGTATAGATCATGCTTTATGAAGATATTTGATACATTTATTAAAACTGAATGGTTGATTAGTAATTAATTTGGCTAAAAAAGAAACTGAAACATATTTGACTCCGGATCACAAATAGGTGTAACGCAAACTATTAATAAAACGAACAGACTTATGAAAATCTCAAGAGAACAATAGTAAATCAGTTTCTGGGGTTTTGATATCATGGTTGCAGCACTTTTTTATTTTTTTTATTTTTATTTTAGTTTTAACTCACAATTGTGCCTTATTCTTACAGGGTTGGGGTTGTCTTAATGAACATAATTTTTAAATACATTCTTTTTAAATGTTAATTATTATCATTATTTTCATTGTTGGTTGCAGCATAACAAAACACTACCGTAGATGGTTTTGGCTAGTAATCTTTTAAGGATTGTGTATCTTTAAAAATCAAGCATTTACAAAATGCATCATTTGGAATGCAGGTCATGGTCTGTATTGTGTTGTGTTCTGTTATTTTGCTTTCTTGCCCCTTGATCATTTTAGCAATGCAAATGACTGCAAGAAATGTGTGTTTATCACATTCATTTAAATGGACAATTCAAAGGGGTACTTCATACAAAGTCCAAATGTACTCCTTCTTAAATGGACCTCAAACCTTTATGAGTTGATTTCTCCTGTTGAACACATTGGGAGATACTGGGCCTGTTTCAAAAAGGAGGTTCAACCAACTCAGAGTTGAAACTTGAACTCTGAGTTGATTTAGCGAGAGATTTAAAACTCAGTTTTCGGTTTCAGAATAGCGGATCTGAATTAGGTCAATCAACTTTGAGTAGACCAACTCAGAGTTAAGCGCGCACACCACGACTATAAAAAGGCATTATCAATGGAGCGCAGATATTACGAGTGACCATGGCAAAATCTAAAAAAAGAGATCACCGTTTTCTCCAGCTGAACTTGATGTGCTCATGCAGATTTATAGCAAATATGAGCGTATATTTAAAAAAGCAACACCACTGCATCAGTGAAACAGAGACTGTTACAGTTATTGCTTAAGTTTACATTTAAATTATTTAAATATTAAAGTGAAATATAATAAGTTAGAATGTTCTAAATAGGGCGTAGGGGGATAAGTGGGAATAGAACACAGCCAGGAACTGTTTCTAACTACAGCTCCAGAGCTGGAGTAGCGAGTGCTCAAGTTTGCGACGCAGTTTGCGAATGTTCATTGGAGCAATGGATTTGGAAAATGTCAAACCAACAAACTATGTTTGTAACGACGGAACTTGCGACCTTAGTTGGCTAACGATGGTTTTGGGAAACGCACCCCAGGTTAGATTCACAGAGTAAGTTACCACAGTAACTGACTGTGAGTTAAAGTTACCTCTCTTTCAGAAACAGGCTTGACTTACCCTGCTTTCTCCAGTATAACAAACCTGCCATTTTAAACGGAAAACCCAGAGTTTCTCTCATTTCAGGGTTAAAATACTTCACTTAACCTCCTTTTTGAAACGGGCCCACTGTCTGGTAACCAGGGAAAAACAAATACTGTAGAAGTCAGTGGTTACCCATTTCCAACAATCTTCAAAATGTTTTCTTTTGTGTTTTGTGTTTTTAAATATACAGTTGAAGTCAGAATTATTAGCCCCCCTTTGATTTTTTTTTTTCTTTTTTAAATATTTCCAAAATGATGTTTAACAGAGCAAGGACATTTTCACAGTAGGTCTGTTAATATTTTTTTTTTTTCCGGAGAAAGTCTTATTTGTTTTATTAATATTTTTTCCTGATAGTCTACAGAACAAACCATCATTACACAATAACTTGCCTAATTACCCTAACCAGCCTAGATAACCTAATTAACCTATTTAACCCTTTAAATGTCCTTTTAGGCTTTATAGAAGTGTCTTGAAAAATATCTATTCAAATAGTATTTACTGTCATCATGACAAAGATAAAATAAATCAGTTATTAGAAATGAGTTATTAAATTGTTTAGAAATGTGTTGAAAAAAATCTTCACTCCGTTAAACAGAAATTAGGGAAAAAATAAACAGGGGAGCTAATAATTCAGGGGGGGCTAATAATTCTGACCAACTGTAAATACAGAGTATATATTTGTCATCTTTTCTGTCTTCATTTGTTAATTGTATCCAGTCGGAAGGATTGTAAATAGGTTTTTAGTAGCAACACAAATTCACCAAAGGTCAGTGACTACGCACTAAAGAATGTCTATTGAAATGATCATTCCATTGTTTCCACAGACAACTATAATTATCATTGAAGAATTAATATATTAGCACATATAAATATAAAATGCATATATTTATATCAAAAATAATATAAATTGAGGTTTAGTTAAAAAGGGTGTTTGATCGTAAAACATATATTATGGTTATTATAAACTTCATGTGATTGTTTGTGAAGTTTATGAATGAAAATGTTCTTTTTAAGACACATGAACTATGCAAATGTACTTTTTTGTCTTATGCAACAGTGATCTATTTTTTTAGGGTTTATTTCAAAAACGCAGACTTCCTGTTGTCAGAAATACTGAATGTTTTTCTCAAAATTATTATTATTTCTTCTATATTTTGAAGGAAGAGCTTATTTTGTCTTTACTCTGGGTGTTTTTTTCTCCTTTTTTCTGTTGGAATCAAGCGTGAAGGATCATTTGTTAACTTGCTACTGTGATATTTTGGAATGTTAATTGAGTTGATTCAGCATTATTTTTGAATGAAAATGTTGGCTGGTGTTCGGTTCTGTCGACCAGTCAGAAGTGCTGTGATCACTGTATTTTAACTAGCTGCTTAATTCACACTTTTATGACCAAATTGGTCCGTGACTGTAGTGAATCGGGATAATGACAGCAGGTCGATGCTTTTCGACCCTGTGAGAGAATTCCTGTTTTTTTGTTTTGTTTTGTTTTGTTTTTTAATCTTGAGAAGTGTGGCAACTGAAGAGTATTCATCTTTTTACCACATGTTGCCAATTACAATTTTTCAACCAACGATGATCTGTCTGTCTGTCATTAGAGAAAAAAATTTCAGAAAAAAATAAAAATAAAAATTGTTGATTCTTTTAGTTTGTTTGGATTTCTGTTTTTAGACTCAATCTTCATATTGCTTGCAAATTTAGAAAAAATGTAT